GCGCCGGCGCGGGCGGCCCCAGCGCCGGCCGCGGCGGCCCCACCGTCGAGGAGGTCGACTAAGCACCCACTCCCCCTCCCCACACACCCGGCCACCCGTGCTGGAGCGTGCTGCCGTTTGCATTCACCCGTACATATGCGGCAGCGGCAGGGCCGGAGGAGGTGGCAGCGCCCAGGGGGAGCGCCGTGGGCCTGTCCCACCGCGCATCGCCCTGGGACTGGTGCGCCTCTCTGGCGGCGCAGCGGCCTGGCGTGGGGCAGAGTTTGGGTCGGCTTGGCGGGTTGCCCCCGCGCTCCCCTGCTTGGGACGAGAAGCTTGCCACCGCTGCCATCGCACATATGAAACGTTTCCCGCGTATGTTTGTCGTAATCGGGTATCGTGATAGCACAATTCGTTCCGCCCAGCGATGGGCGCCACGGGTTTCGTCAGGCGTGTATTCTTTCAAGCGCCGCCGCCCCCTGCGCATGCACGTGCTGCGCCGCTGCTGCCGATGACCTCCCCTTGGCACATGCTTGTGCGTGAGGCCGTACGCCTGCCATGAGGCCGGGGTTTGTGGACGCGTGCGCCGCTGGTGCAGCTCCCCCCCTGCGCCGTTGTCGTGGCTCGCGCCGCTATTGTGGCTCGCGCCAACGGCTCTCAATGGCAGTGGTAACAACTGCACCATTTACGCCCCCATCGGACACGTGGCCCTGGAAGTGGAAGTGACAGACAGAAACTGTCTCTGTAGACAACATGTGGGGCTGAAGGTCAAAGCAGATGAAACGCCAACCGGTGTCACCTGGGCTCCTCACCGGCAGGCAGGCTGGCCCGCAGGACATTGGCAGCCCGTTGGCTGAAGCCATGGAGGCAAGACTGGCATGGTCAATGCGCTTTGTGAACTTAGACGCCTCTCCAAACGCTGCACTGCAAGAAGGGCTTGGTGGCCAGGAGTGCCCACAGCGCGAAGCTCTTGCTGCAGCTGAGGTCAGCAGCAAAGGTTGCCCGGCTGGCGGCGCCCAGCAGCAGCCGGGTACAGGCTGGAGTATTTGATTTAGTATTTAAAAGACTTGTTTCGCATCCTGCATAGCTAGGTACGGCCAGGCGCATGCCCGCATCACACTCTTCCGGACCGGCGTGCGAAATTCGGATCGCTCACCCGTATGCATATGCAATTACATCATAATTTACTTGATCAGAGACCTGACGTTATTTCCAACAAGATCCCAGCAACGAGGCTGCAGCTAGTAGCAGCGGCTACGAGCATTGACTGGGCCCCGGCGTGGCCCCCGATCATTTACATCTCTATTTACATGTGTGATTGAACAAATTCAAAGCGTTGCACAGCGGACGGCGCATTGGAGACCCACCCCCACGGGGTCGAGTCAGGCGTCACACCACAAAGGCGAGCACGCCGTGCCCTGACTGTGCAAGTGCGAGTATTGATCATCAAATGAGCATTTTATATTGCCTTCAATCGCTCAGCCAGCTGCATCGACCCTTGTTGTCCACCCACCCAGTTCGCCCGCCGCAGCAGCGGCAGCAGCGGCTGCACCGGCCCGATGGAGGTAGCTGCGGGGCGGCGCGCCAGCGCCATCTCGGACGACTGCGAGTACCTCCCGCCCACGACAGGCAGCAGCTTTGGCAGGCGGCCAGCAGCGGCCGCCGGCGCCGACGCCGGCGCCCGACCCTCCCGCGACAGCGACTGCGAGTACGAGGCCGAGTCTGACTTTTCAGACGACGACTCGGCCGGCGCCGCGCCAGGCGCGGCG